AACACATTTTTTACCTTAAAGAGTAACTCTTTTGTTGATTAAAAAAAATCCCCTCTGGGTGATCTGTGTACATTTCAAGGATTTTACAAAACTTTGTTGAAGATTCCTACCTTTTGTTATTTTGCAGAAATAGCTGTTTGTTTCTGTCCATATGAAAAGGGAATGGGAGTGAAATTATAATTATCAGTTTGCTGCTGCACTTGCAGTGCCATAATGAAGAAATCAGCAGGGTCTGCATCCCTTTAGATGTAATTTCCCTTTAGGAGTATCTCACCAAAAATGGCATTACTGTACAAAATCTAATTTGTATCTTAGTGTAGAATTCTGGGAAAATCAGTGAGCCAATCACACAAGCAGGAAATGACATTTCTGGGGGAAGTTCCGTACACCATACATGTACAGAACACATCCAGGTTGCCATATTGCATTGAATTTTACAGAAAATGACAGTGCTGCAGATTGAAATGGAAAAGTAATTTTTAATAACATTTAAATACAATATGACTTTTGTTGTAATTGTATATACTATCTTATTTTTTTTCTTGATATTTTTTCCCACAAAATGGAGTTACCCATTAAAAAATGCAAGGAATGCATTAAGGTAAAAAAAACATTTTAGCTTTACAACGACTTAAAAGCGGAGTTCCACCCAAAAGGAGAAGTTCCGCTTTAAAGATTGGTCCCCTGCTCCCCATTAAGGATTGGCACCTTTGGGGATGGAACGGGTACCCGGATTTGACAGGTACCCGCTGCCAATTCTGCTGCAATCGCCTTCCCCCCTCTCTCCCTGTAGTTTTCTGGGACACGTGACAGGTCCCAGAAGACAACGGGGCCATTCAGGCAGTGCAGCGCTACTCGCGCATGTGCAGTGGGCACCCGGATGTGAAGCCGCAAGGTGTCACAGCCGGGTGCCCACACTGAAGATGCCGGCGCCTGGAATACAGGGCGGCCGGTGAAACGGGCTGCGGCAGGGGCAACGCGCAATTGTGGGAGAGGTGAGTGGCTATTTTTTAAAAGTCAGCAGCTACAGTTTTTGTTGCTGCTGACTTTTATTTTTTTTACAGAGTGAGTGGAACTCCGCTTTAAGCAAAAGGAGTAAGTGAAATAAGAGGAACAAGTATTTCCATGCCCCAATGACCCAACAACACCTATTACAATGCATAAATATGTTATATAAAGCTGTACAATCTAGTAACCTAGTTGGATTTAAAGCCGTACATTAAAAACAAATAAGCAAAAAATACCATCGCAAGGTCTTTGGTCAGATTTCTAATGCTGTGAAAACAAATGATGGCACGGCACAGAATGCCATATAATGTAGAACTCTCAATTTATTGGGAGTAAAAACATATAGAGATATTGATTATTGTGGTTGTAAACCTCGACATGAAATACAAATAAAGCATATCCTTCTATAGTGTATACTTGTCTCAATTATTAGCACCAAGTGTCATTTCTGTTTGCTGCTTCGTCCCTCTGCTATCAGCATGAATCACTTCTGACAAGCTTTCCTGACACCAAAAGAAAAATGGTGACCAGGAGGGAACTCCAGCAGATTAACAGCCTCAACTCAGTTCCTGTGGGCTATGTGGAGGGGGGTGGGCCTGTTCCCTCCAATCAGCTCCCAGAGCTCTCTTCACTGAGCTCTGCAATGTGTAATTTCAGCTCTCCACACCCTTTTTTTCTGAATTCTCAGACAAGCTTTATAAATTCAGCACTTTAAACAGATGTAAAGAAGAGAGGGCTATAGATAGACAGGTACAACTTATGTAGGATTTGTTTAATCTCTGTGTATCACCTGAGGTCAGTCACTTCACTGTGTATATGTAAAGGTTCACAACCACATATGTATGACACTTTTCTGGCCGTTTGGCCCTTTCAAATGGCCCGAGCCAGATTAAAAAATTCCTGCTGCCAGTTTCTGTCGCTTTACCATCCTGCACATCAGATTCAGGTATTTCTTAATAGCACCACTTTTACCAAATGGCACTATGATGTCACTATATTAAAAACACATTACCTCCAGTCCAGATAACAAACCTAGAGGTAATTAAGACCAACTCTTAGTTGGCATACATACAGTGGGGACCGAAAGTTTGGGCACCCCAGCTAAAAATTTGTATTAATGTGCATAAAGAAGCCAAGGAAAGAAAAAATCTCCAAAAGGCATCAAATTACAGATTAGACATTCTTATAATATGTCAACAAAAGTTAGATTTTATTTCCATCATTTACACTTTCAAAATAACAGAAAACAAAAAAAATGGCGTCTGCAAAAGTTTGGGCACCCTGCAGAATTTATAGCATGCACTGCCCCCTTTGCAAAGCTGAGACCTGCCAGTGTCATGGATTGTTCTCAATCATCGTCTGGGAAGACCAGGTGATGTCAATCTCAAAGGTTTTAAATGCCCAGACTCATCTGACCTTGCCCCAACAATCAGCACCATGGGTTCTTCTAAGCAGTTGTCTAGAAAACTGAAACTGAAAATAGTTGCCGCTCATAAAGCTGGAGAAGGCTATAAGAAGATAGCAAAGCGTTTTCAGATGTCAATATCCTCTGTTCGGAATGTAATTAAGAAATGGCAGTCATCAGGAACAGTGGAAGTTAAAGCAAGATCTGGAAGACCAAGAAAAATATCAGACAGAACAGCTCGCAGGATTGTGAGAAAAAACAATTCAAAACCCACGTTTGACTGCACGATCCCTCCAGAAAGATCTGGCAGACACTGGAGTTGTGGTACACTATTCCACTATAAAGAGATACTTGTACAAATATGGTCTTCATGGAAGAGTCATCAGAAGAAAACCTCTTCTACGTCCTCACCACAAAAAAATCATCGTTTGAACTTTGCAAATGAACATATAGACAAGCCTGATGCATTTTGGAAACAAGTTCTGTGGACCAATGAGGTTAAAATTGAACTTTTTGGCCGGAATGAGCAAAGGTACGTTTGGAGAAGAAGGGGCACAGAATTTAATGAAAATAACCTCTGTCCAACTGTTAAGCATGGGGTTGGATCAATCATGCTTTGGGGTTGTGTTGCAGCCAGTGGCACAGGGAACATCTCACGAGTAGAAGGAAAAATGGATTCAATAAAATTTCAGCAAATTTTGGATGGTAACTTGATGCCATCTGTGAAAAAGCTGAAGTTAAAGAGAGGATGGCTTCTACAAATGGATAATGATCCTAAACACACCTCGAAATCCACGGGGGATTACATCAAGAGGCGTAAACTGAAGGTTTTGCCATGGCCTTCACAATCTCCTGACCTCAACATAATTGAAAATCTATGGATAGACCTTAAAAGAGCAGTGCGTGACAGACAGCCCAGAAATCTCAAAGAACTGGAAGACTTTTGTAAGGAAGAATGGGCAAAGATACCTCAAACAAGAATTGAAAGACTCTTGGCTGGCTACAAAAAGCGTTTACAAGCTGTGATACTTGCCAAAGGAGGCAGTACAAGATATTAACTCTGCAGGGTGCCCAAACTTTTGCAGATGCCATTTTTTTGTTTTCTGTTATTTTGAAAGTGTAAATGATGGAAATAAAATCTAACTTTTGTTGACATATTATAAGAATGTCTAATCTGTAATTTGATGCCTTTTGGAGATTTTTCCATCTTTCCTTGGCTTCTTTATGCACATTAATACAAATTTTTGGCTGGGGTGCCCAAACTTTCGATCCCCACTGTAGATAGACCGAGTTCCTGTCTCTGTGTGCTGTGCAGCAGAGCAACATGTTTGCCACTGCTAACCTCTCCCCTTTCTACCTGTCATTGCCCGTCAAGGACCGGTCACTGTTGCTCTCTTTCATTGTGCAGGGTGACTGGTCCTGTCTCCACCCCCTCCTGTATATGTCTGCAAATAGCCTGAAGTGGGTGGACCAGTTGGGCCCCTCCCACAGCTCTGCTCTCTGCTCTCTATGTGCAGAACAGTGATGATGTCACTGCTACTTATTTATGGTAATATCTGGCTTTTCAACACACAAAAAGTGGGTTTCTATTTTTTGTGACTATTGAAGAATATATTTAAGTGAAAGTTTTTGTGTCTGGAGTTCACCTTTGATAATGCACTATAAACGAACCTCTGGAATCTGACGGGCTGCTATAGGTAACACATAGAACCTTTCCTTTTTTATCACCCTCACAGAGCTCTCAGTTTAGATTGTTCACGTCTGCCATAAACCAAATTCCACTGCTGTCCTCTATAGCATACAGTCCTATAAACGCTGAACCCCCGCCAATTTACTTGCTGAGGAAACATTACTGTTAAGATGGAATCCTCTTATGAAACTGCTAACATGTAGGACAACGTGATACAAAGAGGCATTGTAACAGTTCGATAAAAAAAAAAGTATCCCAAGGCTGCAAGTAGGTTCGGTTCCAACAACTAGAACTCTGAAGTCATCCCACTGTATTAAGGACTTATATAGTCAGACTTGTATAGTCTGCAAGAACAGTACTAAGAAGAATATCAATACCAAAAACATACATTGATTATTATTATTTATTACTATTTGATTACTGCTGTTATAATTATAATTAGTACTATTTCCATTATTACTAAAAGAATGGAAGATAAATTGAAGTAGTTGCTTATAGTTATGAATGTATTCAATTATTTAAAAGTATAGATTTTTTATCTGTATTCACCACCACACTAAGGCCCCTTTTAGACGGACGGATTCCATTTCGATCAGCACGGGATCCACTCATAGATCCCCTGCTGATTGGAGCAGAGCGGGAGGATGAAATAGAGCCCACTCTGCTCTATGGGTGGTTGGGTGTGAATGGACACCACTGTCAATTTACACCTGACAACCAAACGTTCCCATCTTCCTAAACGGAAAAGGATGGGTCTCTTTCCATTTTGTTTTTAGAGGACCAGATTGGACCTGGAGATATGTAGGTGTAAACAGACAAAAGACCGTTTACACCCACCTGTCCATACGGAAATATAGACCATCCGATCAGGTCCACCTGAAAAAAACTGACAGGCAGGAGTGGACTGACAACTCATGGGGCCCCTGGGCAATAGAGGATCATGGGGCCCCTGTGTCCTTGCCCACACTCAGAGCACACCCAAAAAAGCCTATAAAAAGGTACCAGGGGCATTTCATGGGGCCCCCTACTGACCTCGGGCCCTTGGGCAGTGCCTGAGTGCTCGAATGGTCAGTCTGCCCCTGCTGACAGGTGGACCTGTTGAGATTGCCTGTGTGAAAGGAGCCTAAGGGCTTGTTCACACCAGATACTTTCAGTTATGTGTTTTAAATGCACCGTGAATACTTGTACAGTGAAATTAAAGTGGAAGTAAAGGCAAAACCTAAATAACTCTAAACCTACTCTCAGACACATTCGAAGCCTAATCTATCTAGGCCTGTGAAGAAACAATTGCTATACTCACCTGTTCTGCAGTGTTCAGGACCGGTACAGGCTGAGCTGTCAGCAGTGGCTTCCAGCATGTAGGAGTGTGCAGGAGAGGCAGCCAACAACTCACTCTGTGGGTGATGTCACTTCCCAGGCATTTCCAACCTTTGTTGGCAGTCCCCTACACAAAGGGGGTGCCACTGGAGACCAGACTGGAGCGGCTGCAGAACAGGTAGGTAAAGCGTTTTTTTCTTTACAGGGCTGGACTGATTGGGCTTAGAATGTGGCTGAGAGTAGGTTTAGAGTTATGCCATTTAGTATGGGATTGAAGCCCTGAGTGAATGGCTGTCAGAGCCTGGGTCCGAACCTGGGACTTCTGCAGTGTGTGACAATGTAAAACACAGAATATGGCAAGTGAGCGCTAAAAGTCTAAAAAGCTGCTGAAACACCAAAGGATACCAAATAACCTCCAAAACATCAATGTAAAATAAGGTGCCGCGCTAAAACTCCAACCACATATGTGAAAACTCCATAAGTTAAATATATCAATAAACATATAAATAAATAAATAAAGTGACTTGTGACAAGGTGCCAAATATGTCATTCAAATTAAAGTGACTCAGTGGTAACGTGAAGTCCGTCACTGTATAGTGACCAATGGTGCTGTATAGTGCTGAAATATTGTCCAAATATAAGTGTATGGAAGATCTGATAATCTTCAATTATAGGTGTTCCATCCGGTATTGTGGTGATGTGACCAATGGTATAAAGACTGTGCACTCACCAGATGCGCAATCAATGAGCGCATTTAGAGACAATACTCTCAGTAGATGAACCGGAGGCCCTTTAAGGATGGATATGGTTTGGTCAGGTATTCCCCTCACTGCTCACGCCACACACATTTACAGTGTGTGAGAATGTTTCTTCTTGCTGAGCCACCAAGGTTTTGCCGTTACTTCCACTTTAAGGTTTTCCAACCACCCCAGTTCACACCTGTGCATTTATTCCAAAGCTTTCAAAAAAGCTACAACAGCATAAATTTTTTAGCAACAGAATGCGTGTAAATGCATATAAGCACATTTTTCAAGTGAAAAAGTAGGAAAAAAAATACACTACAAATGCATCAAAGCACTTTATAAATGTGTGGAAATGAACACTGAACGCAGGGATGTTGCTGTGAGCTATCCCTTAATTATGGATGTTTCCTTTTTAGAACACATCAGGTCTCCAGATTTGTGTGAATGTAGAAGGCAATGGTGACCTCAAAGCACACAAACCAGAATCTCTCTTAGGCTCCGTTCACACCTATGCAGGCGCGATGGACCGCTTGTTTTTGAGTGATTTCATGCGTTGAGTTTATGGCAGCCCATTCATTTCAACAGGTAGCCCAACTCAAAAAAAAAAACACAAAAGAAGTGCATGACCCTTTTTAAAAATTGTGCCGTACCACAATGCACAGTACTTTGTTACCATGCATTTTGGCAATGGCGAACGCATGCGCTTTAGCAAAGTGTGTGGCAGTGCTATTAAAAATGAATTGCATCGTTATTCCCCCGGAAAAAGGGTTGCGCATTTTTGTGTGTTGTGGGGATGCGCACGATTTTGCACACATTCCTGCAACACACAGAGGTGAACAAAGTCTTAAAGTATGCAAACAACTACAGTGGGAGCCTCCGATGCTACTAAATAAGCAATGTCATAGGGGGGGGGCTGCTAGCACCCAACCATATACCAAATGGATACTGAAGTAGACAAATATATATATATATAAACTGGTGCAGCGCTACCCTGGATATTGTCGTCTAAGAAGTAAAACCAAAATATTAATTTATAGTGATAAGAATAACTTATAAGTGAATATTAGAGTATACAGTGAATAATTATACCGCACAATCACCCATCGTGAAGTGAACTGATCCACTCAGGGATCTAAAGTGAAACAAAAAAGTGACTAAACATGGTAACAAAAACAGGAACCAGTTAGAACAAAACGTCCAAATGGGACTGCACTGATGTGAACAATGTTAATAAAGGAAAAAATTGTATATAGTGAATCCCCAAAATTGGACCAATATACTCACAATAATATTGACCACAATGGCTAAAATATGCCAAATAAAGTGAAGAAACAGGTGATAATATGTGAATCCCTAATTGCGGGATCAAATTTCACAATAGTGACAAGTGCTGTGGTAAAACAACAAGAAAATGTATACCAAAATTAAATGAACATAATAGAAATAATGTTATGAAAGAAAATCAACACCACTTAATTTTAAATAATATTATGAAATAAGTCCAAAAAAGAAAGTTCACAGGTGCGTGAATGCCAAATATTCCAACGACTTTAGAAAGTGCAGGTGATAAAGTGGATATGCATAACAACCAATAGGAAATAATCCATAAGAGGCTGAATTGCCCCCTCACCTCCTTGAAGTGACCCAAAAGGGCCAAAACGCTTGTTGGAACACAAAAAAGGACCTTCCATGGTTAGGTCCCCCTACGCGGATGATATCTGTCTAAAGCGATGATATCCCCTTCACTGGTATGTGAAAGAAGCAGCAGGGTCCCCCCCAGGGATGTTTTAATGAGATACAGCCAGCTCACATTAAGATCAGGGTAAAGACAGAAAAGAGATCTTCCATAGTGTAAATCTGTTTAATATACCTTTAAGAACATATATAGCCAAATGCCCACTCACTTTTCTTTAAAATAAAACAAGCTGTAAACCTCATGCTATGGGTGTACTTGCATGGGCTTTTTAGGTGTAGCAAGATGGTGTCCATGCCGGAAATACGTCACCACGTTCCTACGCGTTACCTCTCCTGCACTCTACTAAAAAATATGTTTTTTGTCAATGTCTCCATTAGAGAGATTTCTCCTCACTTACTGTCAGTAGGAAGCGACTAAAAATCCTCCTAATAGAGATGCAGGCTCTACTGTAAACCTTTCCCACTCTATCCAAAAAGATAAAAAAAAATTGACTACAGCTTAGCTTCAAAAAGCAAAGTCTACAAATTATTAGCAATAAGCTCACCATCGATAATCACCGTATTACCACTAATTATGACTTAGATCAGTGGTCTCCAAACTGCGGCCCGTGGGCTGGATGCAGCCACTTGCTTTCCTTTATCTGGCCCTTCTGGCAATATTCTTCCCACTGACACCAACAATGAGGCTAAATTCTTCCCACTGACACCAACAATGAGGCATAATTCTTCCCACTGACACCAACAACGAGGCATAATTCCTCCCACTGACACCAACAATGTGGCATGATTCCTCCTACTAATACCAATGATTCCTCCCATTGGCACCAATGATGGGGAACCATTCCTCCCACCAATACCAATTATAGACACTATTTCTCCTTCTACTGACCACAGGGGCTATGTCATTTTTTTTATTCCCACTGACCACTAAGCCCAAGACATTATTTACATTGATCCTGCAGCATTTTCTGCTCCCAGTAGCCACAGTCTGGCCCACTAATGTCTGGTGGACAGTAAACTGGCCCTTTGTTTAGAAATTTTGGAGACCATTGACTTAGATAAAAAAAAAGGAGCTAAAGAATAGCAATTTGTAGCAGCAAAAGGCAATGTAATGATGTTGCACAAGGTGGTTCTGTAGCTTTGAAAAATTACTTTGTAGTGCCAAAGTGCTAGCGACTAAAGCGATTACACCACTAGTTACAAATCACTGGCATTAGGGATTTGTAGTGGTGAGGGATCACTGCTCCAAATTTACCCGTGTGACATCTGCCTTACTTCTATTTCTCCTGAACCCCGATAGACACTGACCAGTTCTCCTGCGCTGTGATGGAGGTAGATGCGCCCTCTGAAACTTCTCTGTGGCTTCTTGAAGTTTTAGCTTCCTTTGCTGTAGAATCTCCTCTCGTATTCTCTGTTCCTTCAACTCCTCTTCTCTACGTTTGTCCTCAAGAGCTCTAAAGAGGAAATAAAACAACATTTATAAACCAATAATGATTATGTGAAAATAACAAAAAAAATCTAATTAACCTTAGTCAACGTATAACTTGATGTGAAGAGTGTAGAACAAAGCTGCTGTGGATAGAGAACGAGCAAATATAAAGTTCCCACATACAGAAATACCTTGTTCAATAAAAAACTGGGAACAGTGAAGAATTTAACTCTGCGAGGGAAGTTTCAGGATTTATATCCCATCTCTGAATGCCAACGATATAAAGCAGGTAGATGGCTGTGCTGTCACTGATTCCTATAAAAGAAGAAGCTGGATCACACCTCTACTGTAGCTAAGCTGATGTGGATAACAAGCTTTCAACGCTACACAGGTATCTCCTCGTGTGCATGTTGTTACTCGGCACTTGAAATGTCCAGACAAGTAGAAGACATAGGAGACAATTATTACATTGACTCATACTCATAATAATGTACAGTACGCGGTGTATTGGTAGAGAACCACAGTATAGACACGTGTTCCTGTACAGGGAAAGGAATGCAATTTGAATTGGAGGTTGTCACAGTAGCTGGATCATTTGTTTGCTGAAAGCTTTTTTGCACGAATGTTTTATGGAATTAATGACCTAAGTACCATTAGTTACATGCGATTCATAAAAATATGAGAAAGCTATATATAGTTATAGTTTTAAAAAAAAAACCCACAACAGTAATCTGTATTACTGAGATCTCTTGATGAATGGCTAGTTAGTTGAGAAAATTAAGGTGGAA